AGTAATATCTAATTATTAAATAATTATTTATATATGTAGATGTCTAATAAAATATATACATAAATATGTTTATTTATAAAGTACTATTAAATTATAAAATGTATATATATTGATATATAATATGATATGTATGTATATATATATTTATTTACAGAGTAATTTTGAGTTGTAAAATAATTATATAATTTTGTAAAGAAGAATACATGAAGACTAATAGTGACGAATTAGTAAATCAGGAAGAAAAAATCACCGGAATCTCTACCACCAGCAACCTGAAACGGGTAAGGGAAACATAGACCAGAAAACCTAAATCCAATTGACTAATGATTTGAAGTGGGGTAAGAATTAAGAGAGAAGGAGTTAATCTAAAAAATCTGTGATCCTGTTAATGATTTTGATATATAAATTTAAGAGTAAGATTCATGCCACTGTTAAAAATGATAACAGAAAAAAAAGAAAAAATTAAAGCAACCAAGAAAAAAGAGAACAATGAAGTTTAGAAGATAAATTAGGAAAAACAGTTAATTCGTATCCCAACTCAGAGAAGTGTAGCGGATTAGCACCCACACTATTTTGGTATGCAAATTGATATCCCAACTCTTAAAAATTTGAATATTCATATCTTAACTTTATACTGTCTGACCGAAACCAACATTGACCAAAATCCCATTAGTCAACATTTCTAATTCTGTTAATAACGATGACTCAGCCATCAGTGATAAAACAACGTCGTTTGGCTACTGTTCCACAGGTGCTCAGACCTGGCGGCTGAGTCATCGTTATTAACAGATTTGGAAACGTTGACTAACATGATCTTGGTCAATGTTGGTTTCGGCCATACAATATAAAGTTAAAGTATGAATATTTAAATTTTTAAGAGTTGGAGTATCAATTTACACACCAAAATAGTACGGGTGCTAATCCGCTACACTTCTCTGAGTTGGGGTACGAATTAGCCGTTTTCCCTTTATTTGGTTCTGCCTTCTTAATTAAAATAAAGAGACATTGTCGAGTCTTCAATATTCCTCTTTTGAGCACGCTTTTGTACTTTCGGCATGCTCGGAGTCTTCATTTGCTTTTGTTTCAGTTCCATCTACGCTATTTACCTTAAATGATTTGCTACTTGTTTGCACTATAGATAAGTGTTTATGTGCTTTGTAAGTGGACACGTTTTGTTTAACAGGTTTTTTAAAGAAAATGTTCATAAAAAAAAACTGGTATATTTACAATGAGTTATTTCACAATTTTTTTTGTTTCGGAAGCCGAAGCTTATTCCAACTAATGAAAACAATAAAATTTTTATTTACGCACACTTTCTGACCACCACACGTATTAGATAGATGGGTCTTCCACTAACTTTCTACGGCTCATTTTGAGAGATTAGAAAGATAACTGAATTTCAGTACGTGGTGAAGTGGTTTCAAGGCAATCCCGCAGATAGATCTCTATTTCTATCTATAGAACTGCTTGACTAAATTGTTTTATCCATTTATCAGCTCTTAAGCTCCTCCCAGCTCAGAGCTCTTCTACATCTTCTTTGGTCAGATTCAACTTGCCCTTAACCTGACATGAGAAAAACGGACTTAGTTGGATAAAACTCTTACCCAAGTTTTCACATGTTCTGGTAAAAGATTCCATTATTGTTAATGGGCCTTCTGATCAACAATTTCTAATTATGATCACCAATTTGGATATGGTCATCACGAGAATATGTTTCATGACATCTATCTGTATGCATTTCATGAAACGACATCCACATTACCCTACCTCGATGCTAACGAATTTGATGATATGTGAGATACCGCGAATATATATAAAAAAAGTCTTATGTATCTAACATTTTGCAATGAAATAATTATATTTGAGTCATACATAGTCATAGCTGAAAGTAAGAGGAATAATAACAAAAACAAGGAAACATTCAAAGTTATTTCAAAGAACAATATAAATGATCAAATAGGAAAAAGAAACCCCAACATATAACTAGCCCCTGTTACATGTCATATACGCATATTCTTTGTTCTTCAAAGATTAGCTAGTTCTTGAATGTTAATGGGGTAAGCGTAAGCTCGAGAGTTGAAATTAGACTTGGCCAGCAAAATGTTGGCAGTCTCTGTCGGATGAAACGCGTCCCAAAAGAGATACTTGGTCCGGTCACTGCACGGCTGTTGCAACGGCAAACACGTTATCTGACCATTGTTCCTCCCAACTCCACAACAACCTTTGTCCACCACTTCAAATCCTGTCATCAGATTAAAACATAGCCAATATTAGAATTTTGTAAACTTGTTTTCAAATGCTTTAATTTGGATTGTGAGTATCTATATGTATAACTCACCGTAAGCGGCTCCATTGGCGGCAAGATCGGAGGTACTCTTGTATGAATCAAGAAACACAAACTTGGCTCCTTGCAACTGACCTTTGTTTAAACGGTCCACAAGTTTTTTGAGCTGAGAGTTAAACAACACAATTGCATTATTGATCTTGTCATTGCATCTTCCAGTACTGTTGTTGCGGTTGTTGTAGCGGGCTAGCTCGTAAGGTATGCAACCGATCTGTCCTATTGCGGTCACAATCACTTTCCGAGCTCCAAATTGGTACAACCGCTGAGAAAAGAAAAAAAACAAAAGAATCATATGAGATATTGAGTAAATGACTAATTTCTTGATGATACTCTAAATTATTGATCAATCCTTACAGTGAGCTGTTGCGTGTAGTTCTTTATGAGAGAATCTGCGTAGGATTTGTCGTTGTAATCCATACTAGTTGAGTAAAAGTCAGGCATGAAGTAATTGTTGAGATAATCGTTACTCCCCATTCCGGAATAAAATATACAACGGCTTAAGTATCTTTGGAGCTCATTTGTGTCTCCTCTGAAGTATTGAAGCATCTGTTGAACCGCGCTAGTGTATAGCTGCACCTGCTGGTTCATAGAAGTATGCGCACCCTGCAAACATTTTCATTATAAATTAGGTTTAGGCTTACAATATATATAATTGATGTTTCTTATAAAATTTTCTGAAGATGGGATTAAAAAGGCTCATTAGCTTGTGTACCAAGTTGTCACCGGTCTCATCTCTAATGCCGGCTGCACCAGATGCGAAATTCGCACCTCTTAGCACGGCCTGTCCACGAACTCTGGAGTATGGTGGAATGTAAGTCCGAAATCCTAGGATTTGAGCTACAAAAACAAGAGAAAATGTTACAATAACTAGTACATATTGTTGAATAGAGCTTTCCCTAAACGTATTGGTAAACTTCAAGAATTCTGCTAAATGTTTCGCTAAATTATATCTTACAAGATTAATTCCGTCTTTAACAACAAAGGAAAACTAATTCTATTCACATTTTTCCTTAATTAAATTATTGTAATAATAAATGTGACTTAAAATATAGAAAGAAGAAGAATTAGGGAAACAATATATTTGCACACGTTAAGTACCAAGTGCATCAACGTAGGTGCGACCGTTGGTGAACCGTCCGGTTGTGCCTTGGGGAAAGTCAATGCCATAAGGCCGATAATTAGCCCTCGCAAGAGAAAGCAGCCTACATGTATATTCAAATTTACTATGAATGTGTGTAACATATATATATATATATATATATGTGGGGGAAAAGATCACAATAATACACAGACATTAAGCAAAAGCAAAACTAAACCTGTTATTGTTTCCATTATCGACTAAGGAGTCACCGAAGATGAATAAACATGGGACTTGTGACTGTTGTAGTGGCTGTGACACGACCGGTTTAAGACCAAACAAAGCCAGACCGAAACTAACCAACAATATAAAACGGAGAAGACCCATTAAGTTAAATTTGTTAACTCAAGAAGAATGAGTTTGAAAAAGGGTTCGAGTGGTGTTCACATTTATATACTGAGGAAGTGTGATTGGTTGGCTGGTTTTGGTTCGGTATGCTATAATTGGTTTCATGTGCTGATCGATTTTTGACAGTTGGTTTCTTTTTTTAAGTCTTCTCTCCCTCTTAACTTACTTCTTATTAGCTGCGGTTATATTCACAGGCGTCTCATGCAATCTCGTGAGGTCTCAGAGTCTAATGTGTTGCTTTCCAGTTGTTTGTGTAGCAAATCACAAGTCCACTCTTGTAAGTTGTAACAATTGGACCAGTACTTAGTACTTTATTATCCAAAGGGGAAAACTAAGATATGTAATTCGTTGTAAGTTGTAAAGATTATTTTTTAATCAAAAATTACTTGATTATTTTAACAAAATGACACTAAAAAAACGGCAAACTCAAAAAGACAAAACCAAAGGATCCAAAACTTTCCCACATCGACAAAATAGGAGTAAAGTTGGAGCAACAAGCACCCCAAAATATCTGCATTTTAGAAGATTATGATCTAGCAATATGCTTTAACTGCTTTGTAGTCATGTAAATCAAACTTTAACATTGAACATTTGTTGGATGTTGTGAGTGGTAAATGGTGAAACTTCTTTGAATGATAAGTAATAACTTCTGAAGCAACTTGTAAGTGGTAAATGGTGAAACTCGTGAACATCAATACAAAATTTTATTTGCAAACACAAGGCATTACTATAAGTACTAGATAAAACTTATATGATGAGTTTTTAAAAGTAGATCAACTTCCTTGTTGCGTTGGTAAAGCACTATCTATGACATCTCAACGATACTTAGCCTACGCTTCTGCCAAATTAAATGAATATGAGACATGATCACTATATGACATTAGCTCTATCTATCCTATATTAAGACATTAATTCCCCTGTATTGACCATGTTTCAGCTGGTTAACTGAAACTGTACAAAAGGTTTAGACTTTGATTCCAAAAGATATGTTAGAACTAGAAAAATTTGGAGGGAGCCGCGCGAAGGCAGGGAAGTCTCGGGCTTAAATGGAACTTGGAATATTCATTGTACGTTGGAAATATTCATACAAAACATCTCTTTGAAGACATATTTTAATCATCCTAACAACAATGCTGGGTTCATTCACAAGCTTTTAAAGATGTTCACAGCTCAACGAACACGACGAGCTTTATCTTCCTGCCCCAACCCCAGAGACTTCTGTGCATTTGCAATGCCTTCAGGATCTGCATCAACAAAATCAACCGTTAAACACACAGAGAATGAAATCACTACTCTTATCACTCGGCAAGATAACATTTGACTATTTAATATGTTGAGTTAACCCCTTTGTATTAGAAATTCATACTCACCAAAGAACTGAGTGAAAATGCGGGTGAAGAAGCTCAAGTTACGAGAGGCGTTGTATGCCATTGCAGGAGGAAGAGGCTTCACCAAAGTGTCTATAGTGAATACTCTTTGCAGAAACTGTAAATAGAGAGTCAGACTTTACAAGGTTAGGAAAGGTAGATTCTATGTCTACACAAAGAAAATTGAAGCTATTCTGTGAACACCCTGTGACACCACAACATGTTTTCTATGTATTAGACGATTCCACATGCACATAGTGTGTCATGATTCAGGTTCTATTCAAAACTGTTTCAACCCCAAGGATTAACCAAGATACTAAGTAGTCTATAGCCTAAGTGACCTTCACTCAACAGTAGAGAAGTTCACAAAAGAACATGTTAGCTATAACCAGTGAGCAAAACTAACCAACCATTTTCAGTTCATTCGAAACTCAAATTGGATACAATGTGTTGGAAGTCAAAACCTTATGTAACGAAGAGAGATAATCTCTAAATCCATAAGAATCCATTCTTTGCAGCTAAAATTTACTTCTTTTCAAACTTCATATGGGGATTTTAATATTAGACAGTGACCCTTAGGTTGGTCTTAGACACAGAAACATAAAGGAATGATCTTTTTCACATTTCTACAATACCCATTGTTCTAAACGAGTGAGCAGAGCCCAAGGTTACAACTTTACTTAGTAGTCTCTCAAATTTCAAACACAATTTAACACTTAAAGGCAGAAACAGAGAGGAGAGAAATTAACCAACATGAAACCCAGAATTAACTCAAGGAAAGAGATGATTTTTATGAGACCTGATAGTTGCGATCGAAGCTGTAGCGAAGCTGAGGATCGATCTCGAGAGAATCTTCGTCATCGGCGAGACTTCCTTTTTTGGTTCCATGGCTAGGGACGTGCATCTTCGACATGCCGTCAGATTCCTTTGTGACCTTAAGCTTAGCGCCGCTAAACTTATCTGAGTCATCGTCGTCGCCTCTCCACGGCGCTTTCGATAACAGCTCCTTCTTCTTCGTCATTGTTGCCTATGGCCAATACTGAATTCGTGAAATTTCGTGAGTATGTGAGATAAGGGTCCCAAATATCTTTGTTTGATTGCAGAGCAGAGCTTGTTTCTAAACGAGATATGAATTTTCCCATAAGCAAACAAGCCCATATGATAGGCCTGCTCTTATCCCAAATATGGACTCATTAGCTCATATTTGGGCATTTATTTACCTTTAACCCCTACAAAAAAATCCAACCAATCAATGTTTATTTTGTTTTTTTTGTCTAAATGTTAAGATTCAACTAATCAATGTTTGTGCAACTGCAACAACAAAGGGGAGCTAATTCATCAAATACAACCAAGTTTCACATCTTGACATGTTTTTTAATCTAACCACTAAAAGGATTTTCACTAATTTGGACACATTAATTAGTCATTTTTTTCATCGTTGGTATTTGAACATCAAACGATGGAATTGGGAGTTTTTGAACCGAAACCCATACATTTTCTAAACGTGGAACCAAAACATGTATTAATATTCTTTCATTTACAATTTGATTTTGAGATTTTACCCTTACATACTTTTCCGATCAAATTTGAATTTTTGAAAGAATCTCTTCTTTAAAGTGGCTAGCTAGTATATTAACATGTCTAACATTCCATTTTTAGTGGTACTAGGTATTTACCCGCGCTATGCTACGAGATGTTATTCTAAATTTTATATATTTTTAAAATTAAAAAAGTTATTTTTAACAGTATAAATAAATATTATATTTATTTTTTATTTAGCATAAGTTTTAGATTTAGACCCTATTTATTTCTCCATATATATGGCTCATTTGAAAAAAAATGAGAATTTTGTTTTTTTTGTAATAAAATCAAAAAAGATTTAGATGAATTATCTAGATGATTTTTCAAGATTTAGATAAATTTATGAGAATTATCTGAATGAACCAAATTGGACCATCTTGATGTTTTAGTTCAAAATGACAAATGACTCAAATACTCTTAAATTTAAAAATAATAAAAAAACTTAAAATAATTTTTTCGAAAATACCACAAATTATGCTTTTCTAACGAAACCTGAAAAATTGTATTTTTTTTTCTAAACTGATAAAATCATATTTTCTGGTAAAATCAAGAAATCGCATTTTTCAACCAAAACTAAAAACACATTTTACTATTATAAGTTTACTTATGATCATAAATTTATCTACTCGCAGGTTATATTCATATTTTTAATTATGAAATTTTTAATACATGTTTTTTCTTACACTAACTAAAATAATTATTCTAACATTAATATTTCTTTAGCATTAAAAAATATTTAGTAAAAAACCACAAATGAAACAACAATTCACATTAGCTTACATATTTACTATAACTTAAGTTTATATATTGACCAGATCGCTACTTTGAGCTCTAGAAATTAAAAAAAAAGCTACAAAATATATCGAAAGAAACCAAATAACTATGTCAAATGTTTGAAGCTCATATTTAATTGACCTTAGATCTTATAACTTTTTTTTTCTTCAGTTCTTCTTCTCTCACATATGCTAGAAACAAGTCTAGCAACTACGAAAATGGCTTCACAATGTTGCCATTTCTCCCATTCTCCAAATCATATCAGCGTTTCTTTCATCTATTGAATCATAGTCATTGGTCGAGATTTAGGCGGTTGGCAACTTTTTTCAAACAGATCTCTGATACCTTTAAACATAATATATTTGCTTTCAAAAATATAATACACTTTCAAATATTCATTCATAAGTATACAATAACTTGATTAAAAAATACTCATTCTTTTGATAATTAATTAAAATTTGGTGCACTCTCTCTTTGTCAAAATATAAAAAATTATTTAATTTCAATATATAGAAAACATCATTTTCTGGATTTTTACTTTTTCTCATATTTTTGCTTTTACATGTAAACATTAACATTATCATACCTAAACATTAGTCACACTTATATGTATATCTCAAACCTTCAAACTTCACATTATATTTAGATATAGTTTTAATTATAAGCCATATGACAGATATGATATAGGAATAACACCCAAATACAAAGGCCCAAAACATTAAAGTATTAAACGCAAGCCTGGTGTTACTGTAATTGGATATCTCATCCGGCCCAAAACATTAGAGTATTAAACGCAAGCTTAAATACAACTTAACTTAAACTACATTTGGTGTTATTGTAATTGGATATCTCATCCGTCTTTAGCATCAGGGACAAAGCTTTACCACTTTAAAGCTTCAACTTTCAGAAAATTCATCATCACAATGCGATTGTAGATCTTTTTCAAACTCTTTCGAGAACCACCATATCTTCTTAAGAGATCCATGGTTAAAAAATCCTTCTTTCCCACAAAGTTGCCACAAAGTTAAAATCGTAGAAGTGAAATCGTGAGTTTGATGAGATAACAATATTAATTGATTCATTAGAATTTTAGGTTTGTTTGCCAATAAACGTTATCAATTAGTTAGGTTAATTAAATAATTTCTAGAATAATTGAAGAAGATGGACGAAGAAGATGATGATATGGAAAAGGAGAAAGAATATGTCGATAATATACAATGAGCTTCAGTTTGTTCTTTCTAAAAAAATTAAAAAAAAATTAAAAATTATAAAACAACACGTAGTACATTAGTAAAAATGGTGTGTTTTAATTTTTGTCATCGAGATAATGAGGGTTAATTTTGCAGTTATTCCAGAATAATAATATTGGGCTTCAATTTTTATATGTACTGTCCATATTGGGTCTTATTGATGAAAAATTTTGATGATAAAAAGAAAAAAATTTGCCTATGTGTTAAAATATTGAGATGAAGTGTATTAATGAAATGTTTTAATTAGTTCAGTATTTTGCTGATGTGTCAGCTTCTAATAACACAAAAAGCTGAGTTGTCAACATATGGAGAGACTTATGGGTTATTGTTGTATTGATTATGTATCTCACTAAAATTTATCATTATTTATTTATTTTATTTTTTCAAAAATCTATAATATAAAGTTTCTAAACAATCAATCATAATATTACCATTGTTTTGAATTATATGTTCAAACATATTAACATCATATCAGTAAAACTGAAATACATATATTAACATGTCTAAGACTTCCTTTTTAGTAGCATTCCATATCCTATTAAGAATAGATTATTGTATTAATTTATATTACAAATTCTGATGTTTCACACCAATAGATTCATATGATGTTTTTCAGACTTTTACCTGATTCCATCTTGATGTAATCTTGATCAAGTAGTCTAGCTGAGAATATCTCTTTTCTAAGAATGATTGAGCATTTTTGGTACAAAATCAAGGACTACATATAAGAAATCAAAGCTGAAATCAAAACCAAATGCAGATTTGATAGTTTACTTCAGCTCAATCAAGGTTCTCCATGTGAACTGTTTGTAAGCAGTTTGCAATTCTTTACATATGTGGCTAGTGAATTTAGTACGAAACTTCATTATAAAGAAACTTTTCCATAAACTATCGGTTAGTGGAGAGTCCTTAACCTATGAGAAAAAAATCAATAATCATAAGATAAACATACAAGAATAAAAAACTGAGCAGAGAAAACATGACTCACATTGTTGTCCTATATGTGTTCCAGATCTTTCAAAGAAAATGAGGCAAAATTTTAGCCAAGAGATGGTCTTCCACACCCTTTACACTCTTCAGATGTTTGTACATTACCAATTAATATGCTAATGCACAAATCAACCAAAGATGGTGGTTTTATATTCTAAAGAGAAAGAAACAAAATCATAGAGTGAAATCCAAACAGATTAAATTTATGATACACAAAAACTAAACAAAATTGAATCTCGCAGACAATGCTCAAAATGCAGAAACTTTTCTGAGTTCGCTGAGAGTAGTGAAAACCCAGAAATTTATCAAAACCCAAAAAGATGAATTCACAGACTTGTAAATTCAAAAAACTCCAGAAACTAAATTTACAGAAAAAATACAAAAATTTAAAATTTATTAGTAGAAGAGAATAAAGGTGTGAAATATCGGACTTCATACAACTCACGACTTGGACCAGCAATCAAGGTTTGACCCAATAAATACAAGCTTGTCGCACAAGAAAGCCCTAATCCAAAGTCGGCTCCTAAAGCAAGAGAGAGCTAGAAAAGAGAGGTAGTGTTTCATCTGTATCTAGGCTTTGCTTGTAGTATTATTTCTTCCTTGTACTCTCTTAGATTCTAGGAAAAGAGAAAGAGAGATTCAGTGATCTTGTAAACCATATCGGAGGTGTTTTCCGATTCTTTATAATGGATGTTGTGGATCTCGAATCCACTCCAAGCGTAGCGGTTACAACCGTGTGAACTAGATGAACAATTCTTGTGTCTTGAATATTCATGAATTATTGAACCGTTCAGACAGAATTTAAGAATAAATCCTCAAAAAGTGGTATGAGAGCGCAGGCTCTTGGATTCAAGATTTTGGCGTTGACACATTAAGATGAAGAACAAGGTACGTACAAGGAGAAAGCTTATGGAAAGGAGACTGAGTGGAGGTTCGCAAAGGTTCAATGACAGAGGAGTTAGGATTCGCGAGCTTCTATATGTCTCCAGAAGGTATGAAAACGACGACAGAGGAATCTTCGTAGGCCGGAGGTGTATCCGCTCGTTAAACACTTTCAAGGAAAGAAAGACGGAGCCAGAGGTAGAGACGATTCACCCTGAAAAAGGACACCAACAAAAGGATGCTGTAGTGGAGAATCATCGGAGAAGACAAGAACTCTCACCGAAGTTGCATTGGAAGAACGTCGTGTTTCTCTTGTCGTCGGGAATAGAAGTGAGAGATGGAGAAGAAGAAGATTGAACCTGGATTTTATAAAGTAATGGGCCTCATTCATTAAGTCTTTATAGATTTCTTTAGGGCTGATTTTATTAATTGTTTTATACTCTAGCCCATATGAAACAAGGTTCTTCTTCTTTACGTGAAGAGAACGATGAGTACCGACGGTGACAGCATCACAACATGACGGTGAGGCGCGATGGAGAAGAAG